CACCGCGCACCGAGGACAGAGGAGAAACCATCTTGTCTTTGAGATCGCTCTGCATACACACTACAGACTAGCAGACGGAGCGAGGGGGGCGTACAGAGGAACGAGAAACGAGAGCGATGGCCGAATCGGACCGGACGAGGGCAGGGCGGGTGTAAAACATAAGACCATAGTGTAAGAGGCGAGGGCTGAGGTGGGAAGAGGGAAATGGGTAGGCGCTCGACGACGAGGAGGCGAGGGGTCCAGGGAGGGCTCTCGGGCGACTCGGAGGGGTAGAAGACGTGGTCGGAACGAGGCCGGATGCCTCGCCTTCCGACGAGGGACGTGGCACCCGCTGCTCTCGAGGCTGGGATATGGTACAATAGAAACCGACGCGAGACCCGAACCGCGACGGCGCCAGCACCCTGCGTCCGACGTGGCCAAGGCGAGAGAGACGCTGCTGCAAGACCGAGGCGGGGCCAAGCGGACCGTTGCCTTTTGGGGCTGCCATGGACAGCTGGGTAGCCGGGAGGGGGCGGCTCATGGCTCGGCGCTTAGCTCGTCGCGCTCGCCGTGGTCGTCCATGTCATGGTCGTCGTCGTCGACGTCGCCTCTTCGGTCGGCGGCGGGTCGATGTGCGCTCAACGACGCCTTCGAGGCCGTCCTGGCGAAGCCCGGCTTGTGCAACGGCGGCGAAGGCATCTTGTCGTTGGCGGCCTCGCGCGTCGCGCTCGAGGAACGCGAGGCGTCGGCCTTGGGCCTCGACGACGCAGACGGGCTGCCTCGGCCCGAGCTGGCGGACCCCTCTGCACCGCCTTCGCCATTCTTGCTCTCGAGCTCGCGAACGCGCGCCTCGAGGCCGCGCACGCGCCCTTCCCACATCACCCTCTCCTCGCGCACCCTTCGCTCCACGGTCTCTTCGAGGACGCGTCGGCTGCTCTGCAGCGTGTGCAGCAGCGTGTTGCTCCGCCGGATCTGGTCCTCGAGCGTCGCCTTGAGCGTCCGGCTGTCGTGCAGGCTCTCGTAGAAGTCGGAAAACAGGCCGAGGAAGTGGGCCTTGGACGAGGGAGGCGACCGGAGGTGCTCGGGCAGCCTGGCCGTATGCGGCGGCTGCGGACCGGGAGCACGGTGCACGCTGGGGCCGCCCCTCGCAAACTGGGTGGTATGATACGCCGGCGAGGGGAGCGTCGCCGTCTGCGGGACATAGCCTCCGCCAACGCCGCCCAACCCTCGATTGAGAGCGGGCGCCTGCCGTGCGAGTGGGTTGGCCGTCTGTGGGTGTTCGGGCAGGCGCTGCCCGTCCCTGCCGACGAGACCGTCGTCGCGCGGGTCCCGGCGTCCTGCAGCTTCGCTGATCTCGTGCAGGCGCGATCCAGAGACCGCACGGAAGTCGCGGGGCGGATGGGCGGCCGTCATGGGAGGGTAGTTGCCAGCGGCCTGCGGATGCAGGTGACGTGGAGCATCCCGCCGCCCAGCCTCGTAGGCCTGTGGCGGCTCCATGCCTTCCCGCTCAAACGTCAGCTTCTGCGGCGGGGCGCTCTTGGCGACGCCAGCCGATCTGGATCCCATCGAGCTCATGTCGAATCCGCCAGTCGGCCCCGATCCGGTGTCGATGTGCAGACGGCTCGCTTTCGCCTGAGCTGCGTCACCTCGTCGGCGGGCGAGACCGGGCATAGAGGGGCTCCCATCCACAACCTCCTCGGGGCCTCCCGAGAGAACCGAAGGCTTGCGGAAGTCTTGGCTGCGTGGAAGCGGAGCGCCGGCCACTCCGGGCGATCGCATCGGCCGGCCGCGGTCATCGAGGGGCGAGAGGCGACCGTTGGGTCTGGGTCCAAAGTGGCCGTCCTGCGGTGAACGATCTTCCAAGCGCATCTCGCGCTCTTCTCCGTAACGGTGCTGCGGCGGTCGCATGTCGGGCCTTGCGTGGTGCGCAGGGGCATGCTCTGGCGGCGTGAAGGACTCGCCCCTGCGCCGGTCGTCGGCGGCATCCATTCCTTCTGCCAGCCGCCTTCGCTTGTACGCGGCATCGGCATCATCGCGGGAGTGCTGCTCCTCGGCGCCATTTGTAAGGTTGTTGATCGAAGGCAGCTGCGTTCGCGGACTGTAGCCGTTCCGTGAGCTGTCGCCAGGATTGAGCGGCCCCAATCTGACATCCGGCCGACCAACCATGGGCGGACTGTTCATCCGACGACTGCCATGCCAAACCAAGTCAAGGGGGACTCCTGTCAGTCGTCGGTGCCCCAACGCGCCAAGCAAATGAGCAAGGCGAGGCGAAGCAGATGGCCTGCGTGTGGACTCACCCTGGGCCCTCGTGGTATCTGCTCTCCATCTCGTCCCGCCGTTTGGCTTCCTCGTGGTCGATCCTGCGTTTGCGCTCCATCCAGTGGTCTCGGTGCCGATCAATAGGCTCTTCTTGCATCTGCAGATCCTTGGTCGGGGTGCGTGGCGAGGCGCCTGGTGCTGCAATGGACGAAGAGGAGCAGGAGACGCTCGTCGATTGGCTGTGTTGGACGTTGAGGAGCTGCGCGAGGTTACCGGCGGCAGCAAAGGCTTGGCGGGAGGATCCGACGTCGAGGTCGGCAGCGGCGCGGTCGCGCGGGGACGGCAAGCAAGCGGTGGCTAGGATCGCAGGATCTGCCAGTCCGGTTCGGAAAGGGCGACGGGGGGCCAACGAGGTGTCAGACTCCTGGAGGAGAGCTGGCTCCGAGCTTTCTGGATTGAGGAATGCGGCGAGGCTGCGACGTGCGACTGTTGGAGCGGAGGAAGCGGATTGGAACGACATGGGGGCAAAGGCGGAGATCCGAACCGTCGCGAACGAGACAGAGAGGAGGGAGGGTGAGTGTTCAGTGTTCCGCCAAGGGAGATGAAGTCGAAACGAGAGGTAGATGTGCGGAAGAAGAACGAAGGATAAAGCGGGAGCGGGAGGATCCTGGCGTGTACGACGAGTCGGCGGTCGAGCCCGCCAGGGCAAGCTTTAAGCTGCACGAGGCTATTCACCCATGGTGGCAAGAGCAGGCAAGCTGCCGAGGACGAGCCCTTCGAGGGCTGTACTCGGCAGCGTTGCGGCTCAAGACGGCCAGTGAGGCGGGTGCCGTCATGGTCCAAAAGGATCGCGAGCACGGTCCCCTGCTTTTCGCGGATAAGTCACCGTCTAGAGAGGACTGTCCCACGCTACAGGTTGCCCGTACGCCACAAGGGACCGCAAGCAGCATGCAGTGGGCCGAGTAAACTCACGCTAGCGCAGTGATGAGCTCGTGGGCGGGCAGCAGCGCAGAGGTTCGAGCGACCAAGGGCAAGTCGAGGGGCGGTGCTGGGCTGGGCGCACCTGTTTTTGAGTCGCTGGCGGAGTTGCGGTGACGGCAGTTCACTGCTACTGGTACGCGTGAAGGTGCGACGCTAGTCGATGCGGGCGTCTGGAAGGCCAAGGGGGTCCGTGTCGGCAAGGGATGCCGAATACAGGAGGTCCGAGCTCTGGCAATGACAGAAGCAGCCAGCAAACTATGTAGCTTGGGAAACGCCCGCGTGTAAGGATGGCGGCGGGAGAGCGCGGGTGTTGAAGAGGCGCAAGCTCGAATAAGTAGTGGAGCAACGAGTAGGCTGATGATGACCTCGCTGACGGCGATTGTTGAGCGTCGAGTGGGTGAGGCTGCGTGGATGGATGGGCGGGGTAGGATCGCGGTGAGGCTGCGAAGGAGATGCTTGAGGCAGGGCGCGACGTGTCGCGCAAGGAGAGGAGCAGATGCGGGAGAAACAAGCAAGGTGAGGCGGGGTGACGATACCGTGGAAGAGAAAGGAGCGGTGGAGAGGACGGTGAAGACGATGGCGAAGACGAACGGATGCGAGCGACGAGATGGCGGGCGAGGCGAGGGCGAGGGCGAGGGCGAGGGCGAGGGCGAGGGCGAGGGCGAGGGCGAGGACCGCCAAGCAAGCAGGTGGGTCGGTGGACCTGCTAGCCTGGCCTCTCTAGAGAAGTGGGGCGTGGGGCTAGGGAGGTGCAGGCCACTCTAGCCTGCCTACCTGTATGTACCTGCCTGCTTGCTGTGGTGGCCTGCCTCGCCCGTAACCGCGACCGAAGGCTGAGGCGGCGGCGGCGGCGGCGGGGCTGAGAGGAGGTTGGTTCAGCCCGGCCTGCCCTCTCTCAGTCGAGCTGCGCCAGGGCCAAAGCCAGCGGGCAGGGCCCAGGGGCAGCAAGCCAGCAAGCAGGCGAGCGGCAGGAGGCCGGGCAGGCAGGCAAGGGCCACCTGCCTGCCGTGCCTCTGCAGGCCCTGCCTGGCGGCAGATGGCCGTGGCACGTCTGCTCGGCGCGCGCGCGCCACGCACGGCGGAGGCTAGGCTTCCTGGTGGCAGAAGCAAGCAGCCCAGCGCCAGGGGACGCTCTCCTGGGCCAGCCAGACTGCCAGCCAGCCAGACTGCCAGCCAGCCGGCCTGCCTGCCTGCTTGCCTGC